AGAGCGAGGGAGCGAAGAGCGAAGGAGCGAAGAGGACGTGCCATGGATCAGCGGCGACGACGTTTCGCTCCAGCAGGGGGCGCCGCCGCTTACACAGGCACCACAGATGCGGCACGGAGCACCGCTGTTGCCTGATGTGCTGCCTGCCCAGGAGGCGCCACCCACGCAATACGGTGCACCGAGCACGCAAGAGGCGCCACCTTCTCCGGAAGCGATACCGACTGTGCAGGGGGCGCCACCATTGGAGGAATCGTTACCGCCCCTGCAGGGGGCGCCGCCGTCGGAGGAATCGTTACCGCCCCTGCAGGGGGCGCCACCGTCGGAGGAATCGTTGCCGCCGCTGCAGGGGGCGCCGCCGTCGGAGGAATCGTTGCCGCCCCTGCAGGGGGTGCCGCGGGCCGGGCGTCCGCGGCTGCAGAAGCAGGTGACGGTGGGTCGATTCACCGTACTGGTGACAAGTCCGTCGTCATCCCTGGACAGCGAGAGTGCGGACGCGCACCCCCTCCCCGCGCTGCCGCCGCCGCCGCCGCCTGCAGGGGGCAGCACGGAGGAGGGCGGGACGCGCGAGCAGCTCATGTTGACGGAGGCTCACCTGCACAAGTCTGCGAGCGCCGCCGTGCTGCGAAACCGCCCCAGGTTAGTGCCGCCATCTGTTGGACGAGGACGGAATGATTCGGTCGTCGTCGTAGGGATTTTGATTTTGTTAATTTATTCGGGTGTTAATAAGATTGATGTATTTTTTGTGAAGAATTTTCGTGCAGTTTTTATTTCAATTTGAACTTGCATTGAATAGTGTCTGAATTCGCATATATTTATATTTGTCTGAATTGTTGCAGTGGATGTTGTGTGGGGTAAAAGAAAATATAGGCAACTGCAGATTGAGTCGGTGCTCGGTTGCTATTTTCTCGTAGAAATGTCGAGCCACACTTGAATTGTCACTCGTAGGGCAGTGACGTGCTATTGTCACACAGATATGTCACCGTTTTACGTTTGTCACGTTGTAGGGACACAGCGGACGCAGTATTGCGTAAGATATCGAGCTGGAGTGACAACGACGCCAGCGCCGCCACCGACGCCATGTCGTTTGACACCACGGCAACCAACTCCACAGACGACATGAGGGGTAAGTACTGGACTGCTTACTGCTCTGTGTCACATTGAAGGGACATCCTGAGGTCAACTGAATGAATGTTCTATTGCTGTGCCCTCAAGGTCAATGATAAAACAAACGAACATCATTTGTTGTCAGTCATTTATTAAAATCATTTATAATTTATCAAGAATAATTGAAATTTATGTTGTTGTTATGCGTGAAGGAGTGAATGTGTAAATTTGTCATTTAATGTGGACAGCATATATCGTATACGTATATCTATACATCGGGATCATGATGGTAGTTCATCCGAATACAAGATATATTGCTTTCAGTTTAAGATCATCGTTTCTGCGTCACTGTTTTTCGTTCCTTAAGCAAACTCGTGCTTCTGTAGTTGCCTGAGAACAATTTTTCCACGCTACTGCTTCCTCTGCAGGGTGTACGCTTCAGGTTGCCTTGGTAACAGCTAGTAGACTTTTAAGTGTAACTTCAGGCGATGCATAATTTCCTAGGCAGGGAATCTTCAGGACTTATTCTCTCAGTGTTGTTACGTGGTCCGCGTCTGTACGGTAGAGCTCACGCTAGGGTGTGGTTAGCCACTCCTGTTTGGCTTCGTAGTTTGGGGTTTGCTACGTCTGTACGTTGTTGTGATGCTGCTGTTGCTGCAGCTGTGTGCAGTGTGTAGTAGGAGAGGCGGTGGATAGCTTTGACTAGTGAGTGGTCACGGTCTGTCAGCGTAGCGTCGTGTGTTCAATTCATCGATTTGTCTATCACCGTACTAGCGTGCGCACATGCGGAGGTATCAGTGTGTGTGCGTGCGCGTGCGTGCGTGCGTGCGTGCGTGCGTGCGTGCGTGCGTGCGTGCGTGCGTGCGTGCGTGCTTGTGGCATCAAGTTAGGTGTTCACTCTCGCAGCTTATTGTCTCTTGGCGTTCGTGGCGTGCGACTTTTTCGAATTCTGTTTTTCTGTCGTCACTCGTTTCCTACTGTTTCCTTGCTAATTTCGAACACTGGACACAATGAGGCTCCTACGTGGGTTTGTACTGTGTGCGGTTACATCTTTGACATCTTGCATGTGTCACGTTTGTGTCAGTGTGCTTTGAAGTTTTATTTCCTTTATGTATCGTTGTTAACTGTTTTAGTTGTATTTCGTTAATTGTTTATTGTATTCATTCGTTGACATCACCGATGAATTAATTTACGAGGACGTTCTGTGTTTTACACGAGTTTTAACAATACTATGGTTAGTTTCGTTAGTCTCTGTCGTTTAGTATTGTCATGCTTAGGGTTGGAAATGTAGCAGACACTGCGGTTGTTGATTCTAGCAGGCTTCATGTTTCCTCCAGCCATAGTGATTCTAACTCTAGAACTATAGCCCTCCGCTCCGCCGTACTGAAACTGGCCTGTGGCGGAGCTGAGGGCTATAGTTCTAGAGCCATAGTGATTCTAACTAGTGGCAATGTTTTGTGGTTTTAGGAAGTGAAGCGTGTCATCCGACAGCTGTAGGAAGTCCAACGCAGAGTTAGTGTAATTTACTCACCTTTCTTCTCTCTCTCTCTCTCTCTCTCTCTCTCTCTCTCTCTCTCTCTCTCTC